AATTACGGTAAATTCAGCAAATAGTTCATCAAAAATAGTCCACCTTTTCCTTATCATAGTCCTTTAAAAGATAGTGTTCCTTGTTTTCAAATAATCTAAAAATCACCAGTAAATAAAGAGTGATGAGGCCTTAACAATATATATGGAGCACCTAAAATTAATAATAGTTGTTGTCCTGAAATCATTCTAATTCATAATATTTGAGCCAATTTATTCTTAGGAACATCCAAAAGAACTTCTAAAATAATTTAAGTTCGAGAGTCTAGTTAAAGTGTGTAAATATTAGAATTTTTTTTGTTCTTTTCATTTTAACCTTTCATTCTAAAAAGGCATAAACTATTAGATTAATAGTGGCCACATTATCTTTTATGATAATAATGTGAAAGCTAAGTTTGCGTCTTTTTTGCTTATTTAATTTTCACTTGATCTGTAGCCATTTTGTGTCTGATTTCTATTGCACCAATAGATTGAATAAATGCTCAGAATTTTTCAATTCAATAATAATTGAGCATTTTAGACTGTAGGTATAAATTTTTTTAAATAATCTAAACAAAATGATAAAATAAAATGGTAGATAATTTTTATTGATTCTTCTTAAGTTTAATAAAGACAAATATTATTCGGAGTTATTTTTCTTGTTGATTATTTAATAAAATAAAATTAAATACAATCATTAATTTAATAGTATTGTATTATTCCAAATATCAAATTAAAAATAACCATTTCCTCCTAAAAATCTAGAAATAACCAATTATATTAATATTTACCTTCATATTTTAAGTTAATTCAAACAAAAAGGAATTTAGATCCTCTAATATTGATCTCTTAGAATAATTTTAACTTCTAATCTTTATATTTAAAATTAAAGAGTTATTATTCGATTATGCTTGCATCAACATTATCAATTATTTTTTTTCAAAGGAATGCTTCTAAGCTTTGAATTGGGATTTATTTTAATGTTAATATTAATTTCAATTATAATCTTATAAATAATTATATTGTATTTTTAAAGAAATATTCCATTTTAATTATTTTACTTGCTTACTTTGATTTTGACGTGAGTTATTGATATTTCAACAGACATTGCAATTCATTAGCAAACAATATCGGTTTCTAGTGCATTTATTTAAAACAATCTAATTAAATATCAATCTTTATTAAATCCTTCTCCTCAATTTATGTCTTTAATGCTAGGAATTTGAAAAGCTTTTATAATATATTTAAAATTTATTTATTAAATTATTTATCTCATAAAGTGGTATCTTGGTAGGCAAGGCTCACACTCGAATTGAATAAATGTTGAATATTTCTGTTTTAAGGAAGGATAGACCAAAGTATACTATCAAGTATAAATATTGGATGAAACGAAAATATGGCCAAAATTTTATAACCAAAACGAGGAGAATGTTTTAATTTTGAAGTATACTAAAAAAGAGTTAACTGCATACATTGATTTAAGTAAAGTTTTTAGTGGTTCAGCCATAAACATAGAGGGGGTAAATTTTATTAATTAAGAAACAAAATTTACACCATCATATTTGGATCCAACTTTTTAGTATAATTATATAATAATTGATGTTGCAATGTACAAAAATGTTAATTATGCAGCTGCCTGTTTATTTTCATATTCAAAAACCAATCGGAAACACTTTTTATTCATAAAATTAGGGACATAGCTATATGTAATGTAATGTTAATATCTATCATATTAACTTTGCTTCAAAACTTTAACAATATAAATTCTAGATGATGATATTTAAAATTTAATTTGTATAAATGATGGTTCAACACTTTAGATTGCTTTAGTTTAAAAAATGCAACATGGTTTTGTTGGAGACTAAGTTTCTACTATTAATATATAAATTTCACAATAATAATAATCATAAATAACATATACTCATTTTGACATCTATTAAAGAAGTAAAGGAAATATTCTTTCCATTTTATAATTTCCATAACTTTAAGAATTCACAAAGCTAGTAGGCGATGTTTATACACTGACTTTCGAAAGGATG